TAATAAAAGAAAGTGACCAGTTGTCTTGAATCACTTCTGACTGAAGATACAATCTCCTCAATAGAAGGACATTGTCTATAATCTGAGGAAAGGAATCATGAAGACTCTACTCTTCCTATTCTGTCTGGTCATTTACCTGGCCTTTGCCATCAGGTATGTCACTATTACATCTATCAAATAATGATTATAATAATAATTCCTTTTCCATGCAGTGCAGCTAATAAACAGCCAATCTCTCTTCAAATGGATTGTAGCAAACAATCTTCTACAGTTGCTTGCTCTTTCGTCTTCACTAACAATGGAAAAGAGGATCTTTATCTACTTAAACGTGACACTCCTATTGAAGGACTATTCTCACCATTTATTGATGTCTCTCTACACGGCAGTGAACCTATTCCATACCAAGGAATAATAGCCTATCGTCTTCCTCCTACAAAGGATGATTTTGTTCTCTTGAAGGTAGGTGAGAGTGTTTCTGCAACGGTTGCAATCACTAATGTCTTTAACATTGACACTGATGGCCTCTACAATATACGGTACAGTAAACCATTGGAGTACCTGACAGTAGATGATATGATTCTGGAGTCTGTGGATGAGCTCAAGGAATTGACTGTACATGAGTCCGTGTACGTCAGTCTGGAAGATACTCAACTACTCGTAAAACCAAAAGAACCTGAAGAACCCAAACTAGGCCACACCGTTCACATTCAAGATTGTGCCACGGCTAACTTTGTTGTTGAAACTAATGAACACATTGCTGATACAATGAATGTGCATAAGAGACTCTGCAGCAAGATTGACGTAGCTAAAAGTAAAGTTCGAAATGGTGGAGCGTATTCGATATGGTTTGGTGCCTATTCTCCTGATAGAGCAACTAAAGTCACCGAGACATTAGACAGAATTAAAACTGGACTTACAGATCACACAATCACATATGAAGATGCTTATGATAGTTGGCCATGTGCAACTTATAAGGCAGTAACCTGGACCTTTAGGAGCTATCCTGTTAAACCATATACCACTGTCTACTTATGCCGAAATTATTATAGAAATCCAACTTATTGTTATTATAGTACCTACACAAAGGAACGGTTTATAATGAACGTATGGGCTCAAGCTTTAGGCTATACAGATTATGCTGCTGACTATTATAGTTCATGCAGGAAATTGGCTCAGAATGACCCTGATACAGCTGTTACAAATAGTTACAATTACGGGTTTTTTTACTGCTATGCTATACGTTAAGCTAATAAGTTGGTCCTCAAGTCAAGAACTTTGATAAGAACTCATTCAGTACTATTCTGCTACATGTAATAATAAATATTATTGTCACATTTCATATCATATTTTTGGCTATCAATTATAATAAAAGTCAATTTAAATACAAACAGCTAGAATATAGTACTTCGTTTAAAATTTTTTAGAT